AGAGACTTCAGTTTACATATATTAATCGAAATCACACTTTCCTCTGAATATGGGTTGGAGTGTCACAAAGAGTGTACTTCAGGGATTTCTTTCTTGACCATAAGTTCAATCCCACTATTTTTTTCTATCCAGCTCTGTAAGAGATGTCTTGATAAGAAATTACAAAAGGAGCTTTAATGGATTTGCTGCCAAGCTCACTGATCACGAGGCAAAGAGGCTGGAAGGTAAGTGCGCAAACAGATTAAACAGATTTATTTTGTTTGTTTGTTTGATATCATATGGCTAGGTAATGCTTTCAATTTGTTATGATGTGCAGGAATGAGTGGAGTGGTCTCTGTTTTTCCTAGTACAACTTTCCATGTACAGACAACAAGATCATGGGATTTCATAGGTTTCAATGAAACCGTCGAACGCAACCCAACCGTGGAGAGTAATGTCACAATTGGTGTGATTGATAGTGGAATCTGGCCTGAATCAGAAAGCTTTAGTGACAAAGGTTTTGGTCCTCCTCCACAAAAGTGGAAGGGTGTTTGTGATGGTGGCCAAAATTTTACTTGCAACAAGTAAATACATTAATGATTTATGTATTTCACCCTTTTATAGCAAGTAAATTTATTATTTTGTAGATAGATTAGTTATAATCAATCCTCCTGTTATTTCACTGGTTACAGTAAGATTATCGGAGCTAGATTTTACGTTGGTGACTCAACAAGGGATGAAGGCGGTCATGGGACTCATGCTGCATCTATTGCAGCTGGAAACCATGTAAAAGGTGCTAGTTTCTTTGGGCTGGGAGAAGGAACTGCCAAAGGAGGGGCTCCCTCAGCAAGGATCTCTGCATATAGAGTTTGCGATAAAGAGGGCGAGTGCAGTGCAGATGGAATTTTGGCAGCTTTTGATGATGCAATAGCTGATGGAGTTGACTTGATTACAATTTCAATAGGAGCTGAAGCTCCCATAGACATCGAAAATGATCCCATAGCAATCGGTTCCTTCCATGCCATGGAAAAAGGAATTCTTACCGTACAAGCTGCTGGAAATAGTGGGAGCGCTTCAACATTTTTGCCGACTTCAAGTGTATCACCATGGCTGCTTTCTGTTGCTGCAAGTGGCATAGATCGCCAGTTCATCAACAAGGTTGTTCTTGGGAACGGGGAGACACTAACGGTGTGTATTGTACATTCACTTGGCAGCTTAATTACATGTTGTTAATTTAGAATGGTTCTTAACAATGGTTATCAATTTTATCTAATGATTTTCTTGCCTCTACAAACAGGGTATGACAATCGATACATTCACACTAAATGGAACAAAGTTCCCAGTGGTTACTGGACAAAATGTTTCAAATGGTATTTGCGGGGAGACCGGAATTCAGTGAGTTCCAGTGTAGTTTCACTTTCACAAATAATTTAAATTTGGCACAATAGAATGAAAATCTGATTGCTTTGTTCTGTATCAGAGCTTGTAACGATGGGTGTCTCAACCCAGAAGCAGTAAAGGGAAAGATTGTATTGTGCGGCGATTTTAGGGCATTTAAAGGAGTCAAGGTTGCTGGTGGAGTAGGAGTAATTGTCCTTAACAGTGCAAATGATTTTGTCCCTCGTGCGGTCATTGTCTCATTACCTGCCATAGCTTTAAACAGCGATAACTTTACTTTTGTGGAGAACTATGTGAAGTCCGCGTAAGTAACACATCTGGAACCACCACTATTTGTGTAGCATATGTGTATATTTTATTTGCAGGATACATGACATCTCATATTACAGAAACCCTGTAGCTGAAATATTAACAAGTGAAACTATTAAAAACCATGATGCTCCTAGAGTAGCTCGCTTCTCTTCACGTGGGCCAAATTCTGTGATACCAGATGTTTTGAAGGTATGAAGGCATTTTTTGTAACCTAAAATAATGTCCTGTTCCCAATTCTTTACGCCTTTACCTTAACATATTTCCATGTTTTACGCAGCCGGATTTAAGTGCTCCCGGGGTGGATATCTTGGCCGCGTACTCACCTCTAGGTTCACCCTCAGGATTCTTTGGAGACAATAGGCAAGTCAAATATAGTGTATTGTCTGGAACTTCCATGGCTTGTCCTCATGCTGCTGGTGCTGCTGTCTATGTTAAATCAATTCATCCCGATTGGTCTGCTTCTGCAATCAAATCTGCTTTGATGACCACCGGTAATCTTCATCAATCTTACTTTTTAAGGTTTTTTCTTTATGCTATAGTTAATTATTTCTACACATCGCTTAATGTTTCCTATGAATACAGCTTCCTTCATAGAGCCAAATTCTCAACTTGATCCAAGTCAAGGAATTTCTTTTTCACCTGGAAATATTAATCCTGCCAAAGCTATTAATCCGGGACTTGTATATGAAACTTCTAAAGAAGACTACATAAATGTGCTTTGCAGCATTGGATATACTTCAGATATTATTAGAATAATTTCTGGAGATAACAGCTCTTGCCCGGAGAGCTCAAAGAACGGATCGGCAAGGGATATGAATTATCCTTCACTGGCAGCTCAGGTTCCTGTAAGCAAACCTTTCAAACTTGAGTTTCATAGAACAGTTACAAATGTTGGCAGTGCAAATTCCACTTACAAGGTACAAGTCTCTAAAAATTCCAAGCATAGTCTCAATGTCACAGTGGTTCCTGAAGTTTTATCTTTCAAGTCTATAAATGAGAAGAAGTCTTTCAACGTGACTGTTACTGGAGAAGGTTTTGAGGAATTTGATTATGTGGCTACTGACTTGGTATGGTCTGATGGTAGCCATATGGTTAGAAGTCCCATTGTGATGCATTCATACACCTTCGCCTTCACTACAGGACATTGATCGAGCTTCTTGTTCTACAGATTTCTCAAACACATCTTAATAAGACCTGCTGTAGAGATATCTTATTTGACAATTTCAAAAACAAATGCTGCAATAAATAAAGTTTAGTTACTTCCGATCGAAGTGAAGCTAAATCTTGGGCCATTAATTATCAAGGATCTTAGTTTTCATATGTTGGATTATAAAGCGCTTGTCTTATAATTTTTCAGAGTTAATATATAAAGGCTCGCACCTTTTCGAGATCAAGAATTCCAATTTTCACTTCATTATTGCTTCATAACCTTGCGTGGAAGCTCATTACAGAGACCCTATTCCGTCCAAATCCCAAAACCCTGCCTCTAGACTTCAATTTCTGCAAATCCATTTCAGGGTTTAGGCAATACCATGATGGGAGGCCAAGGGGACCCCTTTGGAGAGGGAAGAAGCTGATAACCAAAAAGACGCTTTTTGAGATACTGGGTTTAAAGAGGTTCAAGAAAGATGAAGAAAAACTTCAAAAATTCATCAAGTTGCTTGTGTTAAGGGTATTGAAGATGGACATGATTGCTGTTCTAACTGAGCTTGAGAGCCAAGGAGAGACTTTTCTAGCTGTTAAGGTAGTATCTTAGCAGCACCCGTCAAGTGTTTGTTATATTTCCATAAATGGCCTGTTCTGAATTTTCCCTTTCATGCATACACGATTGGTTCTCCTGTGTAGCTCAATTTAGTTACCGGAAGAGAAATGTTGTTGTCTTTTGTGCTATGATGAAAATTTAAGAAATTTTATTGTGCCTGATCTTCTATCTGTGTATATCATCTTTGTTTGGCCTTGTTTGTAACTCCATGAATTTTCAGGTTTTTGAGGTGAACCAAAAGCAAGACTGTTACAAGCCAGATGTACATTTTACAAAGACTTAATTCTGGCACTAGCAAAATCTAAAAAAATGGATGAAGCAATGAAGTTGTGGAAAAGTATGAAGAAGGAAAATTTGTTCCCTGATTCTCAAACCTACACTGAGGTCATTAGGGGCTTCTTGAGAGATGGCTCTCCTGCCGATTAATGAACATATATGAGGATATGATAAAGTCTCCAGATCCACTAGTGGAATTGCCATTCAGGATTTTGTTAAAGGGGCCTCTGCCACACCCCCTTCCCCCCCCACCCTACCCTCCGGGGTTAGGAATAAAGTTAAGAAAGATTTTGAGGAGCTCTCTCCTGAAAAACATGCTTATGACCCTCCAGAAGAAAATTTGGCAGATACTGAGGTTCGGACCCTGATCTTTGCTCTTTTTTACCCCTTACTAAACATTGATGTTTTGTTAATAAATACCGATGAGGTTAAAAGGGAAACACATTGTTTGATAATCCAACAAAATTCCTTTTCTGGCCAAAAAGTGCAAGTTTCTTTCAACTTGAAACTTTTGAATTAGTAACATTTATAAGAGTTTTTTGGAAATGCTTAGACATGCAAAGGTGGTCGTGCCGGAGTGGTTATCGGGCATGACTAGAAATCATGTGGGCTCTGCCCGCGCAGGTTCGAATCCTGCCGACCACGATCTTCCCAACTTAGTTGTCGGACTTTTTAATTTTCTAATGTAATGGCGTTTAGGATTCATTTTTCTTATAGAAGTCCTAAAAATGGATCTTTTCAAAGATGTAACCATGTTAAGATGACTAGAAGCAGTTCAACAGTTGGCATATAATTAATTAGTAAACTTTTTTTAAGTGACCACTCATCAACTTTAATTGCTCCAATAATTCATCTTGGAAGCTTATAGTTAGCTTAACCAGGAAAAAGAGAGGCTATCCCTTTCATGGACTTAATCAGCTTGCATTACTTTTTCAAAGAAAAATGACAATCAACTTGCATCCTCCTTATAATGCTTCAGGGTATGGTATGAATGGCATCTTATTCTTAGTATTTTAGTATCTTGTTGGGATTTTAGTTTAATAGACCTCTCTTTTGGGCACGTCCAAGGAAAAAGCTGGTGAGTGGACAAACAACATTATCTAGTTATCTTCTTGCGTCTTGAAAGGGCTTAGATTTCCCCAAAATCACTCTCATCCCATTAAGGGCCATTGCTATTGGCTAAGATATATGACTCTAGGGAGCCAGGAAAGGCTACAGATTTCCATCCCTTGTAACATGGCACTCCATGGTAGGTCCAGTTGGGATGGCAGGTGGACCCCTTGTGGCACTTATCCGTTATGTTTAGTTGGAAAAACTAAAAAGGGAGATTGAGGATTGGATATTATTTGTATATATTGAACCAAAAAGTAATGAAAAGGGAACTGCAGGGAAAGTTCCTGCAAAGTTTTGATATGCTTTTTTAGTAGAAAGGAGAAAATGGGGACGAAATCTTTGGCATAAAATATATAGAAGTTACTGTTTTGGTCCGATAATGGCACATGGGCGGCACTGAAAGTGCCGTCTTTGTGTAGCATATATGTTTGATGAATTGTTCATTAGAGAGACAGACTAATTTGGTTTCTCTTGTACCCTGTGGAAAGTGATCTTCACGTTCTCTTCGGTTGCTCTTCTCTGCAACTTTTATCTGTTTCCTTTCATTAGAAAATTCACTGGGAGGTGTTTGTGTGGAGAATTTTGACTGGTATTTTCCCAAAGGATTCAGTGCTTTGGAGTTTGTCTGGCTAGAGAGAAAGAAAATGGATGGTAAGAGGCAAGTGGGTTCTTCTTCTTCTTCCTTCACTGCTGAACTTTTTGGCATCAAGGAGTCACCAGCATCTATGTCCACTGGGATTTTTGCTTCCATGTTCCCTGCTCCATCTGTGGTATTAGCTTCACTCGTCTCTCGTTTTTCCACTTTTGAAATATGTTGGATTATGCTGATTAGATAGTTAATCTTTGATATTTAATTCATCTTTTATACCATTAACCAAGAAAAAAGGATGGAAAAGTTTGCTGACTGATTCTTTCATAGATTTCTAATCTGATAATGAACACATTATCAAAGACCTCCTTGATTTGATATTTCAGGTGATAGGGAGGAACTCCTCAAGCTCAAAGGCCTTAGAACCCTGGAAAAAACAGCCAATGGAAAACCAAACTTGGAGTTTGAACCATAGAATGCAAGGTTAGCAAATCTGAAATTCTGGATATCTCCTGATTTCAGCCTACTTTTCAGTTTTTGCCAAGTGAAGAGCATCCCTTTTTGTTCTTGCCAAAAATAAATTCCAAGTTTATTTGCTCACCAACTCAAGTATTCAGTAATGGACAACTAAAACTAAGAAGCTATCATGACTTTCCACTTTTTTTTCTTTTTACAGGTAAATTAGCTTCTTATCCAGAAGGTGGAGCCTATAACATACCGAACAAGGAGAGAAACTCTATTTATCAGGAAGGAAGGGCAGAACCTTGTCATCTAAGTTCATCTCTTTACTATGGTGGGCAAGACATCTACTCTCATTCTCCAAGCACTCAAACCTCTGCATCATACCCTGTTGTGAGTCTACACTAAATATATCTAATAAAAGTACTACTCTGTGAATGTGTTCTAGACTACATGTATGATAGTGACCCTGCTTATATTCTCTGACTAAAATAGTTCAACAAAAATGAGGGAGAAGATGACCCTATTGGCAATAACTCACAAGGTGCTTCTAGAGGAAACTGGTGGCAAGGTAATGATGTTTTATTGAAGCAGTAAGTGGATAACTAAATGGAACCATGGTTCTAGATTATGCTAATATATCTCCAAATTCGACTTGAAATTATGCAGGCTCCCTTTATTATTAAGGTCTAGCCTTCCTTAATGCATGTGAAATTTCTGTAGGTAAGTTTATTTAAAGCATTAATTTTTTTTATTCCAATTTGATAAAATGTGAGAAATGACTTCTGCATGGTGAATGAATACATTGGCTATGTTAATTCAGGCTTCTTCTTGGAGAAGATAGGAAATTGATAATAAATTGATCCAAACCAATCTGCGCTTCTTTAACCATAGACAAGTGTAAAAGCAATAGTCATATCTGCTTCATAAAATGTTGATTTTCCATGGAGTTTTTCTTCATACCAGATGAAGTCCATTTTTGTCTTTTGTGTAGCAGCTCTCTTTAGATATCAGTCTAGTTTTCTCTTCTTATTCTCTGTCCCCACCCCAAAATCCAAAACTTAATTCTAATTCTCTGCTTCGTTATTGACATTTTTCAGGAATGCATATAGCCATCGCAATAACTAATAATTTTGCAAGATCTGTACAAGAATAAATAGAAACTAAGTCAGGGATTTCCAGGGATTTGTTATGGTTTCTTCCAGTACAAATATTCTCCCCCATACTTTTTGCTGGAAAAATGATGGTGGAAAGGTATTGCAATGTCTGTTACCCTCTATATGGGTTTAAGTTTCTTAAGCAGTTGAATAATGTTTTATGCCCATTTTTCTTTTAAAAGGATTGGCAAAGAACAGTTTATAAATGTAAATACTGATACCTGAGTTTGCCCATCCAAATACTATTCCACTGTTCCTTTCTATTTGCAAGTATTGACATTACACTGGGATAGGGGCTCTGAACCTAAAAGTTCCCACAAAAATAAGAAAGTTATTTTGCACAAAATTTGAATAATGAAATGATCATGGTATGTCAATTGAATGGATAATGATATTTACAATATACATCTTTTCTGTTCCCATTACTAGATATACAAAGAAATAGCCTTTCATATGCAGCAGCCATGTTGGTAGCCGTAAACAATTGCAGCCCTCTCTGTCTAGCAACCTTGCCTTTCTTCTCCAAAGCCTCTCTTCCATCATTCCAAACCCTATAGAGAGCCTTCTTTAATGAATGCACAGTTGGGGGGAATGTGTAACCAATTTCTTCGCCAACAATTACTGACCCTGTAATGCTGGCTAACCTTGTTGCCATTAATGGCTTCCTTGTGAGCATTGCTTCTAAGAGGGTGTGATCCAAGCCTTGTGCTCGAAGTGTCGGGTTCACAAAGATATCTATTGCGTTGTAGAAACTTGCTAATTGAGCTGGTTCTAATGGACCCAAAACAAGCACATTGGGTCCAAGGTCTCTGTATCTAGCACCCCAGGGACCATCACCTGCAACAAGAACAATGACACTTTCTCTAAATTTAGCATTTTCCTCGAGCATTTGCTTCAAGGCTTCAAAAATTAATGGGTGTCCTTTATCTTTCACCAACCTCCCTGCCATGCCCAATATTAGTGATTTGCTCCCTGGGATGCCAAACTTCTGCTTGAAGTCCTTTCCCTTGGCAGCATCTGGCTTGAAAACCTCCTCATCTACTCCGTTCAGGATGACATGGACTCTTTCTTCAGGGATCATGTAAATCCTTTTCAAGACATCTCCAGCATGATCACTTGTAGCAACATGATGAGAGTAATAGGGGAAAAACTTAACCTCTTCAACAACCTTCATTGCTCTTTCATTCAACACATATGCCTGCGATTCGTCAGGGCTCCTCAGAAGTTCTTGAATGATGTCTGAATGAATGGTTTCATATGCAATTCCATGCCAACTTACTGCAAGGTTAGACAGGTTCCTTGCTCGAGTATGCAGTAACCCAACACTCTCTGTGTGAATCACATCAAAGGGTTTCCCAGTTGAATTCTGAGTTTGAAATTGCTTCCAGACTACAGCCTGCTCCAGGTAACCAGCAGCTGTTGGTTTTGAGAGGTGAAAATTCAAATTACTCATGGGATATCTTGGGAAAGAGGAGTTTGGTTGAGCAGTGGTGAAAATGTGAAGCTCATGGCCTCTTTTAGCAAGGGCAAGGTGCAGGGTGAGGGCATGCCTTTCAAGCCCTCCTGCACGAGATCTCTGAGCCCATTTCTTAACAAAAACAGCAATTTTAAGAAGTTTATTTGGTCGGGGATCAGATTCAGAAGAAAAGGAAAGATGATTCCATGCAGAAGGAAATGTGAGGAGATCTATTTCCTGGTTTTGATTCTGCACCATAATCTGATTTATGGAATAGCAGGAGCCAGAAAACTGATGCCAGTAAAGGAACAAGATGAATGAGAATGAAGAAAGGATGAAGATAACCTGGCATAAACACCGGAAATTGAAGATAACAACCTGATCCCTTGCCATGAATAATCTTCAAGATTATTCCCCCAGCGTGCAAACCCTCTGAATCAGAAAGTAGAATTTAGCATAAAACTGCAAAAGCAGAAAGAGATTGATTAAGATCCAATACATAAGGGGAGTAAGGGACAGTAACCTTTCTCCATCCTGGAAACCGTGTTCTGATATCAAGGCATCTGCACATGGGTCTTTACTATAGAATCAATGTGATCCAAATTCTGTTGCTTGTTTCTGAAGAATGCATATTTGGTTGACTTTGGCATATTTATTAAGCTGCTCTGGTTTCTAACTCCTATTACTATATAGCAACAAAACAAAATCTCAACAGATAATGTTATCTTATCTCCAACCCCCTAAACCTTAGCCGTTTAATATAAAAATAAATCAACAGAACCACTCCAAGTATAATACAGGCGGGCTGCGTGCAGCAGAATCAATATTCAAGAAAAGAAAAATAAATAGAAAATCACCATTGCTGGGATCAAACCAAGTTGCAGGGGTTGACCCTGAAAATGTTCATTTGCCAACACTTCTGTCGATATTTGGGGAGTTTGAGGTGCCACTGTGCTTCCCAAAATCCATTTTATTGCCAGAAAGGAAGGTCCAATGGACTCACAAAGTTAAAATCCAAGGTAAACAGTTAACAGTAGTTTATGGACCTCAACAAGTTCCTTTTATGTAGTAATAACTGAAATTGCGTTTTGTAATAAGTTCCTTATTGAAATATATCTTTGCCCTTAATATGATATCATCTTTATAAAAGTAGTTTTACTGACCTACAAATACAATTCTGGCATTTGACCTAGAAATTGGTGAGATGAATGGTTGCTGGTAGTGTTAAAGGCCGGTAACTAGAACCGAGTGCTGTTTGTTGAATCCTTTTGCCATTGAAAACATTTCTATACTGGTGAAACAACAGATAACAGGCAAAAGCATCTTTAATAGGTAGTTTCATGTTTAAAATTCACAAAAAAGGGGGGGGAGGAAGAAGAACACTCTGTTTCTGATACAACAATGAACAATTTGCAACATTTTATAGGCATTAGAAACTTTATTTATTACACTTCGACCTTATCAAGATATAGTTTTCCAAACTGGTCCCAACAGAGAGGAATAGAAAGCAGCAGAAGATTCTTGATAGTGAAACTCTTTTGCAAACAACAGATTCAGAGTTTCGAATCAAAACCCGTGAGCACTGGGGTCCTTCACAATGGTAACAGGACAAGTAGCATTTGCAAGCACATGGTTGCTCACACTTCCCACCAGCACCCTGTTTTCCATTCAATCAAAACATCCAACACCAAAACAACATGAGAATTGACTTTGATCCAAAATAATCCATCATCTACCCTTTTCAGAAATTGAGTTTCTACAAAAGAAAAAATCAATAAAGGGGAGATAAGATCAAGAATTACCTTTGGATGGTGCCAAGGCCTCTGCTACCCATGACCAAACAAGCAAGCTTCAAAGCTCCAACAGCCTCACAAAGCTTGTCCCTTGCATCACCCCAGTAAAGCTTACCCACCACAGTCACCTGAGAATGAAATCAATCCATTATCCCAATCAATCTAAAAAAGAAAAAAGAAAGAAAGAAGAATGAAAAAAAGAAGATCATAGCCTAATACCCTCAAGGGGGTACCTGCTTCTGCCTAGAACAAGTGTCGAGCATGTCGAGAATCTCAGGATCAAGGACAACTTCATACCCCTGCATCACCTCCTTCTCACGCAACTCGGTCCATGGAATCAGAGCTACACAGTCAAACATTTAGATCTCATTATGATCCTCCAATACTACAGATGATCGGAAAAGAAAAGTGGAGAATGGAAACTTACGGGAGCCGGAGGTGGCCCAGAGAAGGTTGCGACCCTCGTCGCCTTGGGAGGGCTTAACATGGATGAGATAGAGGGTGTCACCTTTTTCTAGCAGATTGTCAACAGCCCATTTGAGAGCTATTTTACTTCCTTTGGAGAAATCCACAGCTACACCAATTGCCCTATCTCTTGACATCTTTGCTTGAGAATTTCTTCACAGCTGAAAGAACAAGAACAACTGTTTGAAAAGAGGAGGAGATGAGTATGTTACCGTCCAAAGTGGGCAAGAACATCATTAGAGTCAAGAACATCAGCAGGATATATCGCGTAGATATTTTGTATTGTCAACTTGTGTTGGTTATTTATTTATTTATTTATTTATTTTATATTTAATTGTTTATTTTATAATTTAAATTGTATTAAATTATAAAATAAAAATTTTTAAATAAAAAACTCTTAATATCAAAAATTCATATTTAATTTAAAAATTTATATTTTATAATTGAATATAATTCAAATTACAAAATATTTTTTCATTTTGTATTTGTATGGTCTACTTTGTTGGGTTTACTTTACATTCAAAAGATGTTATAAAATCAACTATACTCCATACCAAAACAAAAATGACAAATTACTTTAACCAACATTCTAATTTGCTTGACTATTTCTTGGACTTGGACCCATGGCTCAAGGCCTTTCCTTTAAATGAATGAAATAGAGCCCAAACCCAAAAGCTGTAGAACTATATGTCCGTGGTAACTGCTGGCCCACTACCTTGTCAATGCCTTTTTTTTTTCTTTTTTTTTTTTAATTTCAAGTTAAGATTAAAAATTGGTCAAAATACCAATTTGGTCCCTCAACCTTTAGATTTGTACCAAAATTATCCTTTAACTTCAAAAAATACTAAAGTTATCCCTAAAGTTTAATTTTTGGTATCAAAAATAGTCTCAAACTTTTAAAATAATACTAATTTAGTCCTTAAACTTTAAAAATAAGTACCAACTTAGTTTTTGAATTTTGATTGCAAATACTATTTTAGTTTTTCAACTTTCATTATATATCAACCTAATATATAAATAAAAATATGTTACAATAATAAAATATAATTATTTAACTTTATATATCATAGTATTTTAAAAAGAACTGATTTATAGTAAAATAACAAGTTACGTAATATTTTTGTTAACAGAAGGATTTTTTTTATATTAAAAATTAAACTTTATAAATAATTTTGGTATTTTTTAAAGTTAAGAGACAAATTTAGTATAAATTTGAAAGTTGAAGGACAAAATTAATATTTTAACCTAAAAATTATAATAGGCCGAGGGCCACCATGAAGTAGATGGAGCATGCAGCTTAATTTGACTCGGTCACATAAAACTCATTTAAAGATATCTCAAATTTGATCCAAAATTTATTAGTTTGAATAGAAAGAATTCGATTTTTTTTAAATAAAATTTTTAGTTCAAGTTTTATTTATGAAAAAATAAACATTGAAAGAGTTTCTCTTTTATGAAATTTGGCAAGACTCAAATTTAAATTAGTTAAAATTTAATGTAATTATCAAATATTAAGAGATTAATAGAAAATAAAAACCCTCCACTTTATTATGTGAAGAATGAAGAATTTGGAATCGGGTTGAAAACACCCAAATTGTGGTATGCAAAGAAATTGCAATAGGATTCTGAGATCAGTCAACTATAACATCCAACCAAAAACACTCTCAAACACACCTAATCCCCCAAAATCAGCTGGCTTTATTGACTACTGTCTAAGGTTGATTGATCTTTTTGGTTAGCTAAAGAGGCCAACTGCTATACTTTGTTGAAGGATTTTTCTACTTTATATTTTTAAAATATAAGTTAAAATGTAATTTATTGTATCTTTTAACTATTAAATTATAATATAAAAGATATTAATTTTAACACTAAT